ATAGAAGATGTAAAGGGGAGGGTCATTTATTTGGAGGGGGTATTTTGGTTTTTTTTTTTTTTGCTCTTGGCATTGCCTTTTCTGCCACTTCCTTATGTTCTCCTTATTTCTTGGTATGTTTTTCTTTTCCTGTCCTGTTTCCCATTTGGCCCAATAGAGAAAGTATCTCCCCAAGAATTGTGTACTTTCTGTAGCATGGAATTGAAACCAGAAGTTTAGACACAGCACTTGCAGACATCCAGGCAGCTGCTACGTTACAGACCTGCGGTGTGCAGGCATGGTGGCTTTCTGGTGCTGTAGGCTCTGAGAGGGACTAGCTTGGCTTGAAATAGTTATTGGAGAAGACTTTTCAAGTTCCGATAATAAAGGTGTTAACACTGGGGCCCTGTGATCTGTCTGACGTGTTGGAATGGCTCATTGAATGCTCGAGATCCAGTTGTTGCATTTCAATGAGGGTGAAATAATGGTGCTCTGAAGCCCTTCAGAGGGACCCGTCTGATGGCGGCTTCTTGCCTCAGCGCATTCCTGCGTATTTTGGGCTAGGAAAGGAGACAGAACTATTTCTGACTCCGCCTGCTCAAACGAAATACCGAAAGAGTCCTGACCCAGCGTCTTCCATCAAAAGTGAATCCCATTGCCGTGGCAACACAACTCGCTCCTACAGGGAATTAGGTGAGGCAGAAGCTGTTGGAGGAGGAGAGACCCAATTGTGCTGAAAGCAGCGCAAAGTCCTGCTGGTTTAAATGGCACCAGCATCCGGACCCAAGGAAGGTGGGAAGAGAGCGAGAGCTGAGCTTCCATGCTCTCCACAAAACCATTTATCTTTTCATGGTTTGTCAAACCCATTCTGTTTGCTTTTTTTCCTTTTTCTTATGCAAATTCTTTTGTTTCTGTTTAAGCTGAATAGCGTAAGAACCTGAAACAGGACGTTTGTTAAAGGCATGCAGTATTAAATGCAGAAGCCAAGCAGAGAAGGATGAAGAGAGATTTTCTTTCACATCTTGCACAATAAGTAGAAATCGGAGATTGTGCGCTTTGGCTGAGCAGTTTTAGCTAACTGCTCTAATAACTGCAGTTATTACCATGATAAATAACTGAAAGCAGTTAAACACTGTGATCAATTGCAGTGCAGAGAGCAATGTAATTAATGGTAAGCATAGGTGTTAAATAAACCACCATGCCTTGAGTCATTGGGCATTGAATTTGAATGTATGCACAAGTCATGTGGATCACTACCTGCATAATCTCAGTGGCTTCTGATATTTTTGTGTGTTCAGCACCTTGTCTGACTGTCACTGTTGAGCGATATGGTGGAACTGAATCACCAGAGCAGGAGTCAGGTCAAGCTAATTAAACTTCTTGAGTACTTCAGTCACTCCTTCAGGATTACTAAAATAGCTGAGAGTGTCACTGGTGAACGTGGTGATGGGAATGGCATCTGTTGCAGTTTGATCCTTTTCATCTTTCTCCTGGAGTAAAGCTGGGGAGAGTCAGGTTTTAGTGTTAACCATGGGGTATTTGTGTTAGAGAAGGTATGCAAGGTACTCCAAAGATCGCACTTTACACTCGGTGTGAAAGGCAGGGAAGCTTGTGATAGCCTTGCCTCTGGTGCAGAATTGTGTCTGAAGAGCTGCAGCACTGGCCACATTCCTTTTTCTGGGACATTAGGCAATCTTTTTGCAAAGCCTGGGCTGAAACTGTCAGGTTCTTGAAGATGAGACCTGAAGCTCCTTTTAAGTATTGAGACACCTATAACACCTCTGGAGATTGGCCCTTTGCTACATGGGAAGCTATCAAAAAGAGTGAAGTATGGCATTAAAGTGCTTGCTGTAGTCTGTGTTGCTGGGGCAACACAGCTCACTGCTCTGTACTATTTGGCATTTTCTAAAGACATGGCTTTGTGCCTAGCAATATTGTTCTGTGTAGTGCTGATGGGGAGCTGCAGAAAAACAAGTCATAGAAGCCAGATCACTGTACTTTAGGAGAGACTGCTGCATCTTGCACAGAGTGAGACAGACAAAAGTGTTCCCAGAGAATTCAGTTTTGACTAGGAATCCAGGAATACCTCTAAATTACAAGTGTTAGAGTCAAATTGCTTCTTTTTCTGCCCATCTAACATTTTTTCACTTAGATTCAACTTAGCTAATCAATATTCATTCATACCAAATGATATCAAATTATAATGCTGTGTAGATGACAGAGAGTTTTTGTATGTGCTAATGCTTAAGTACTAGTGTTACGCTTAATTTGCCAGGATTCTGTTATGTTCCATTATTTCTTTGAGATTTATTTTGTGTGTGCTTTTCCTGTGAATTGTCACAGCAGAAATGCATGTTTTTAGCAACAAATTCTTAAAGTATTCTGTATAGTCATGTACGTGTTGCCTACAGTCAAACATGGCACAGTCAGCAGCTAAAGTGATTTAATTTTTATTTGCACGCTCAATGTGCGTTAACAAATTCAACATACAAGATAGCATTACATAATGTAGATTAGCTTATAGCATTATGCAGTTTCACACATGTTGAGTTAGGTTTTTTGCCTTTTTTTTTTTTTTTCACACAAAGTTGTCCAAGTTAATTTTACAATAGAAGACACAAGGTAAAGAATAACCACACCTGGGAGATTCTACAGTGAGTCCGCTGTCACTTACTGTCTATTTTACGTTTTAAAAAATATATATCTGCACATCTTCAGTTTCCTATTATTCCAGAAGAGTGTTGGAGCTACTCCTATCTGCCTGATAGCCTAAGTCTATTTACCCTGAGCATGTTTCCTTGACAAGAAGTTCACCTTTCCTTTTCAACTAAAGGAATCTTAAGGAGATCATCTAGGCTTAAGCATGCTTTTCACACCGAAGGGAAAAAAGGGAACTTTGTTGTTGTTGTTAGTATGTCCTATTCAGATGTTTGGAGCGGTGTTGGAAAGCATGTTCCGAGGAAAAGTCATGATAGTTGCTAAACTTCAGCAACGCAATTGCTTAGTGCAAAAACTAGGATTGAAATAGATCTACACCAATTTTCAAGGGAGAACTCGTTCTCTCATTTGTGGCTGTGAGCCACTAATAGAGCATGAACTAGAAAGCATTTAAGACAAAATCTACTATTAACATCAGGCAGAAATCCTTGTAATCAGGATTGATAAAGCACGAACGAAGTCCACACTTCTGTCTGCCATGCAAGGCCGAGAAATAGAGAGCTTCAGCTTCAATGCAACTTCTGTTGCTAAAAAGACACTCTGCCTGGAAGGAAGTTTCAATGAGTAACTAGCTATGAGCGAGAAAATTCAGCTTTCCAAAAATAATTTCTTAGGAAGAGATGCAAAAGTATTGCCAACTAACAAAGTGCTGACTGTTTGCACGAAGAGCCCTCCCATCAGCTGTTCCTTTACATGGTGGCTGGAGAGGAAACCGAGTAAGACTTGCTCAATTATTTTGTTCTCATTAGTATGAAGGTGGAAAGGATCATTTTTCCAACAGGGCTCTAAAATTCAGTAGTCAAGTCCTGTAAGTAGTTAAATGATCTTAAAATTTTTTAATTATAATACATTATTTACATTCCACAGGGCACACAACAGACTGGCTGCCTGGAAGCAACTAAATGTTTACTGAAAATTTGTGGTCTTCTACGTGCCTCTTTGCAAGCTCACTTGTGCTTCAGATTTCCATTGGAGAGTTCAGAAATAATTTTAAATTCTACAGCCTGTTATAACTATTTCCGCTGAGTTTACCAACAATGGTTATAATCAATTATTTGCTGCCAATTATCATCCTTTCCTGGCTTGAATGCAATAAGAAGCCAAATCGAGTTATTTGCCAGGATGGTGCTGTCTTGTACAAAACCAGTTCATAGGCTAGTGTGTTTACCATGAGATCTAATGCAGCTACTTCCAAACTTATATTTGTGGAACTTTACTCTATGAACTTCTGTTCAAAACTGCTGACTATTCAGGGTTAATAGCCTGAAGTGCTACAGGTCACACTTGTCAAGTAACATTTTTACACTTCAGAGGTGATGGTAAGCATATCCTAAGTCTCCGAAGTCATTCACAATTTAAGAACTAACTCAAGCTGCCTTGAAACTCTGAAAATTAACTTCTCGAAGAGTCTGACACATTTTGTAGTGACAGGCTTTGCCCTATGTTTACTCCTTTTTTGAAAGCTGGCTCTTAGGTAACTACAAGATCATATACAATGCAAATTGACTCAAGTATGAATGAAGGTAAGCTTTGTAATTTTTTCACTTAAAACCTCTTCCCCCAAGATATTTTCCTATCTCAGGTATGTTATGCCATTATAACAGAACTTATCAATCATGTAGAATTTCGCATTTAACATTCAAAAGAATCAGCAAGAGTTTCCTTACCCATCAATGACGCATCAGTTTTTGTTTTTTTTCTTGGGCCCTTCATGCGCAGACAAGGTTAAATAAAATGAAATAGAGCAGAGTTTCCCCAATTCTGACAGTCTGTGAGATCATGCCTGTGATAACTTCCATGTGGCAAAACAATGTGATCAGTTTGTTGGTGTTTGAATTTTAGATGCAGATCTTTGATGTTGTGACCTTATAGCTCCACAACAAGTACATCGCAACAGCAAGTATTTCAGTACCTGACAACAGAATTATTTCTTCTCTGAAGGAAAGTGCCATTTTCCCCCTGTATTTTCCTTTTGCGCTAGTGCAGAATTCTAAACCACCTTTATATGGAAATGCAGTTGGTACTCCCAAACCAGCAAAGAACAGAACTGCAAGAACCAATGGGCAGGCAAACTAACAAGAAACTAGAGGTTAAACAGCAGAATTCAGAAACTTTGGGAGAAGCCTAATAAAGACAGGCCAATCTTGGTGAATACCAGCAAAGACAGTTCGGCACAAACACAACTTCCATAGTGACAGATAATTGTATTAAAATCTGCAACTTGATATTGGTAGTTATACTAATTTCAGTTTGTAATAGGCATGCAATAGCGTGATTACACTGTTATATATATTTGTGGTATCTTTTTTTTTTTTCATTTAATGCTCTTTAGAATTTTAGTGCCCTGCAAAATCACATCACTAGAGAACCAATCAGCTGCTGCTTCTTACGAAAGTTTAGTTCTACAGCTAAAACACGGTTTAAGTCTGTTCTACAAGTCAGCTGTCGCTGCCGCAACCTCTGCTAGTATTCGCTCAGGCTGTGCCATTTGGCAACTGGCTTTCTAGGATTCTCACACACCTCTCGCCAGTGTTCCACACCACCTGCAGTGATGCTGTGCGCTCCCAAAATCAGCCGTCCCACCACTTCGTTTTTCGTGGTACGGTCGAAATCAATAACTAGAAATTCAATGCTGATGTCAGGAAGGAGATCGACAGGGATATCGTAAATGAAGGACTCGTTGAAGACAGGATTCAAAGTGCACTTCTTCACGTGAGTCTTCTTTTTTGCTATGCGCTTTCTTCCATAATAAACATTCACCTTAACGTATGGATCTGCTGGAGAAGAGAGAGAAATAAACCAATAACACAGCCCAGTAATGCTCCTGGAAGTAATGGACAGGACTTAGCTTGCTGAACGTGAGCCATCTCAAGTAAATGGTGTGAATCTAGGCTACTCACTCCAGCTCCCGCAGGAGGGGGGCATTGTTTGTGTATTTCCTCATTGCAAAGCAACCAACTGATGTTAGCAACACAAGTTCTTTGTAAGTTTCAACATTGCATGGGGACTGGGGGGAAGCAAGTCACATGTAAATTGCGGTAATTAATCCTAGAAATACCAAACGGGTAGCTTTTTGGTGAGGTCAATGCCTGACTGGCCAAAATTTTCACTTTTCACTGTCATCTACAACAAATATTTTTACCCTCTTTCAGGAAATAGCCCAGCAAAGTGTGAAGACGGTTTTATTAATCTGCAGGTGGAAAACATTTACAGTGGAAGGTATTGAAAAAGAAGAAACTTTAAACCAAAGCCTTCATTTTTCCATCAGCCTCACTTTGTTATTTTATTAGTCAGCTTGCTTTTTATGCAGATGCTTATTTAGGATTAAAATTAAGATACCAGGCACGCAGAGCTTTTTTTTTTTTTTTTTTTTACACCTAACACAAGTTTTGAAGCTGGAAGTCACTTGCCCAGCTGACACTGGCTAATTTTCAGTGTTCCTTTATCCAGCTGAAATATGAGTTTATGCATTATATAAAGATCATATAAAGAAACGATGTTAGCCTTGCAAGATTCAGCAGGTAGAAGAACAGTTACTGAAAAATTTATCCTGTAGTTGGAGACTACATGTGGAAAGCTGGTTTGTTGTTTTTTTTTAAAGAAAGAGTAAAATTTAAGGCCTACAATAGAGAATTAAGCCTAGACTGCATTCTTTGAGCTGTACAGGAGAAAGCTGCAAAAACGGGACTAAATTTGCTATCAGTCAGGCTATTATTGAATCTCAAGTTGATTCCAACCATTTTCTCATAATCCTGAAGGGAACTTTGCTAAGGGGATTCAGGAGTCTGAGAATCTGTGACTGCAAAACAGGAAATCCAGAACAGCTGCTCTTCTCTTCAAATAGCAAAACAACAAAAAAGGAAAAAAAACCCCAGAACTGTTTCTAATGTCATATGAATTTACTCCTCTCTATTCTGAGTCTATCACTCCTCTTTTTTATGCTTGCTCTCTTTTACCCTTCTCTTCTAGGGGCAGGGTTTGAGGTAGACACAGCAAGCAGCGGTCTTGCCATGGAAAAAATGCTAAGGGCAATGATGAGCGACAGCAGCACGGAGGCACAGAGCCTACACAGTCTGGCCAAAAGCAACAGGGAGACCTGCTGAATTTGAAAAATACTGTCTTCATAAACAAACCAGGTGATGCCAGAAAGATGCAACTGTTGGCCTCGCAGTAGGAAGGATTTGGTCTTGTTTGTGTAACCATCTGTTGGTGAGCGATGGATCACTCATAGTGATCCATCACCCTTAGAAAGAGTTTGAGGAAAAGTGTGCAAACAAAGAAAATCTTCAGATGAAACAGGTGGAAAGATCTGAACTTGATCTTGGAGGTTTTTTCCTACACGTTTAGAGAGCTGAAGAAAATAGCTTCTACCTGAGAGGCCAGTGATATCCATCTTTGGCAAATGTCTGGCTTTCAGCACCACAACAGTCATTCTCTGCGCCACAGGCTGGTAAGACAAGGAGACTTGCAGTTCCCCTCTGCTAATACATTTCTGTGAAAAAGAAACAGAAAAAACTTACTAAGACAAGATGGTCTTATACAAGGGACAAATGCTGGAGGTCACCAGAATTTCCTTTCCCTGTGCCAAATGCCTAAAAAGTTGGAAAATTAGATGCAGGCCGTTTTAAGTGCCTCAGGCAGATGGAGCCTCTGGGAGAAGGAGCGAGTGACATAAGGTAAATTATCCTGTGCTGTTCACCCTACACCTGTTGAGCACAGTAAGCAGCACTACAGCCTCTCCCCTTGAATGCTGTGTTTCCATGAGTGCAAACCTGGTGGGCACCTTCTGAGAGAACAGTGGACATGGCTGCCTTTTGAGGTCTGCTACTAGAGGCATCTGTGGGTTTTAGGAGCTTAAGTTTCATTGACTTTTGGTGGAGCTTCGATGGCTAAGCACCTCAAGTTCTTTAGGTATGCTTTGACAGTTTCACCATCTGTTTAGTCTGCAAAGGTACAGGATGAAGATAAAAGAAAGAGATCTACTTGGTTAAACTTGCTGTATATCCTTTGAAAGAGTAACATAATATTAAGATAATTAGCTTTAGTTTCCAGATGGCATTCATTAACTTTCATTGAGATGGCACTAATTTAGATTATTTACTATCAAGGCAAACAGTATTAGCAGTGGGTATGAAATCATGTGGTGTCATAACGCACTGATAGGAGAGCTACTGCAATAACTCCAATAGCTGCCTGCTAAGTACCTTGCCTCTCTTGACTCTTAGTACCTTGCCCTTCACCTGCCCCAGTCAGTGTCTGGTACTGTCAACCCGGTAGAGCAAAGGGGGTGGGATGTGTGTGTCCCCAAATGAAGGAATTTTTCTCATTTCAAACCAGTGAAGCGCTACAGTAAATGTCACACTAAATGCTCTGGTGATCACCCAAGAGGTGAAGCTGTTCTTTCAACTGCTGTTATTCAGCTTAGTGGGAAAAAATTGTGCATGTAAACTTACACAGGGAAAAATGTTCATTATCATTTTGGTGGTTTCTTTTTATTCGAGCAGTTCCTGTGTGTTTAAGACAAGTCTTCCAAATGCAAGGAATGAAGGCTATTGCTGCTTATGCAAAATTTTGGGAGGAGTAAATATATGAGCAAGCTCCCAGCCCCAGGAGGGAAATGTTCAGAACTTTGGCTCCTTGGATACTCTCTCTGGCTGTTGTATTCTGGTGTATTGGGGGTGTGTGTGTATATGCTGTTAGAATTTTGGGGGTTCTTTTGGTCTGAAGTAATTTAATGCAGTTACTTCCAAGTAATTTGTATTCTTAGATTGTCTGTTAGATATTATTGGGAATGTTCATTAGGCTGGGATCTACATCTTTGCTGGCTTGTATCAGTGCAATAATTTACTGGGTTTTAAATGCAATTCTGTATTCCAGATTTTGAAACTTCCTGACATTGGAAAACTTTGTTCAGTAACAGCTGTTTTGACACTGTGGAACTATGCAGATTTTCAAAAAATGCACAGCTGACACCAAGGTAAATCTATTTTTGATTACTAATAAATATCAAATAATTTGAATCCTTGATTACATCTGTTTTTATTTAGCGTGATGTTTTTCTTCTATTTTTAATCTATTACTTCTAAGAGATAAGGTCAATGCACTGAAAAAAATACTATTAAAAGAACCTAAATCAGCCACTTGTTTTACTATAATGGAAAGCATCCCAAGAACCTAAGAAAAGCAAAGTAATTACCAGGACTTTGCTGGGATTCTTTTGGTTTGTTTTGGGTCATTGATATAGAGTCTCCTTTAAATAACTTTAAAAAAAAAAAAAGTTAAATGCCTCATATAGTAGAAAAAACTTTTCAAGTAAAATACTGCAACTCTAGGATGTAATGAAGTATTTTATACAGCCAGCAACAATTTCCAATACGTTAAGGCAATAAGTGAGCTCAAATGCCTTTTCCTGTTGAACCTGGAGGATGGGTAGCAAAAATAAACTGAGCAAGAAAATAAAAATCTTAAGTACCACCTCATCCTCCTACCTGAGCATAGTGTATTTTCTGAGGACAGAAGCCATCTTCCCCAATGTAAGCCTTAATAGTGTGTATGGATTTCTCATCGTTCTAGTTTTACAGTACTAGGCACTAAGAGTAGGGTTCATTTCACCTAAATGTTAGATGTCTACGTTTGACAAAACCATCTTAAACACACTTTGTTCTCAAGTGAGGAAAAAAATAGAGTCATCTAGGGTGGGATTAATTTGATCTGATTTTGACATCTGCTCCAGGACGAGAGGAATGACGTTAGACTCCGCTGACTATGTTGATGTATTCCCACTTACAGGTTACAGTAACAATTCAGATGTAGATAATTACAAGTATAGGTGTCTGAAATGGTCAGACCAGACAAACCTCCCTCTCTGAGAGGTTTGTCTTTGCAGATGAATGTCCCATTATCGCACCAGCTCTCTTCCTTGGAGATGGGGACTTTGCCTTTTTTCTTGGCATCATCAATTATAACATACATCATTTCTATGCTTAAATAGTGACCATGCCTTGTCAAATTGCCATAACCACAAAGCAGAGAACTGCCTGACTAAAAGAGCACAGCCATATAATACCAATAATACATTCCTGTGGAAAAATGGGTTTCATGGCTAAGGAATTGCAGTATTCCTGCTTATTACACCATGGAGGCTGCCGGATCTAAAGAAGTGGGATCAAATACAATGCAAGGAGTCTTGTGTCACACTACATGAAGTGACTTACTTGTATGTTCCTTTTGAGGATCTCCCTGGTCAGCTGAACCTTTCCAGTGCTTGGATCCACCCCTGCAAGGGGCACCATGACCTCTCCAATAACATCATCTCGAGAAAAGCGATCGAAGCTCAACACGAGGAAGTGAAGCACCAAATCCTGGAGCTGGCTATATGGGATCCCATAGAAGGTGAAGGTTTCATCAAAGACTGGGTCTAGTGTCTTGCGAAGTACACGAGTCTTCACTCGATGCCTTTTATCTGGAAGAATTGTCATCTTGATATAAGGGTCAGAGCTCTGAGTGTGTTCATCCATCACTGGCAGCCCATGAGCCTCCTGAATGGTAACTACCAGCGCTTTTTTAGGGAAGTTGTAGTCCACTAAGAAAGTCAGTTCACCCAGCATGACATCATCCCCTGGAGAAGATGGGGAGGAGGTTTTACTTCCTCCTGGAGTGAGGCTTTGATCTGGACTTAGTTCATCTCCATAATCTACTTTTATTGGGAGCTGGTCGACATGGGGGGCTGCATTTGGCCCATCTGGAGCCTTCTCGGAGCCTATTAAACCAGATTCAGCAGCATCCACCAAGAGGTTTCCCCTTCCAGTCTCCTTAGGAGTGCCATTCTTGTCTCTCCGGATTCGGTTAATTTTCTTCTTGTTACTCAAGGTCTCCGGATAGATGCTGATGCCTTTCAACATGTGAATGAATTTATATGGTGGGGTTTTGTGCTTCTTTTCTGCTTGCTGGTGACAGCATGTCCACACAAAAACTGTTACTGAGACAGAAACCACAAGGACAGTAGCACCAATGAGGCCTGCAACAACTGGAGAGACATCTGCAGAGAAGACAAGGCAGTCAGGAATGAGCTTGTGCCTTTGCAGTGGCCGTGCCCCCACGGGGCCAAACACATCTGGATGGAGAGCTATACGGTACTATTCTGTTGTTCTTAATTCAATGATCTTGGTATCAAAGCTTCCCCAGAATAAAAACCCACTTCCTCTAATTTATATTTTCCCACGTGGGAAACATTTTACACTCCTAAGGCATGCTTGACCTATGTTTCACATGCTAAGAATTTCAAATGGTTGATTGCCTTATCTTGCCAAATCAAGCTCCCGCATTACCAGCATCTCCACAGGAATACGGTTTCTTGATTTGCAGGAAGCACTCTTTTTTTTTTTTTTTTTTTTTTTTAAATGCCCTGTTCAGAAACATTACACAATTCTATTTTAACAACAGGAAGGGAGTAATAAATATGGCCATAACATTGGATCTGGAGTTATCCTTTATTAACAATTTAAAAAAGCCAAACCATTTTGGCCTGAAACGGTTGATTGTTTTTCTTGGCCCCTTACGGCAGATAGAGGACCAATGGTATACACAAAATTTCATGTGGAAATCCAGTGTCCAAAAGCAATGGACAGAAAATCCTGCATTTGGATTTAGGGATTATTTGATATTTTCTAGAGCTTATGTCAACTATGTTCTTCAGTAATGACAAGCCAGAATAAGAAAGCACCGCATTCATTTTTAGTAACCATGCTCGTTATTTTCTATTTGTAACAGTTGACTTTGGAGAATTATTGCCAAGACACGGAATGAAACCATTCAGTAGTGTTGAGCTCCCCAGTACATTATATTGACAACCTCAAGCAATTCCAGTCAAGGGCCACCAAGATGATTAAAAAGTTGGAGTGGTGGAGAATGGAGAGCAGATGGAAGACAAGGTGAGACCAAAAGAGCAGGGTTTGTTCAGTCTTAAAAGGGAAGGAAAAGGGAGAGATCTTTTTGCCATCTTCAATTTCTTGATGGGAGATTATAGGGAAGGTAGAGCCAGGCTCTTCTTATAACTTACTATTGTATTACTAGTTTAATCATTAAAGCAATTTTAAAAAAAATTTTTTTTTAGAAGCAAGCAAACAGAAAAGCCCTTCAGCCCTGTGTCTCTTTTTTTTTTTTTTTTTTTTTACAATTTGTACACACCGCTTCCATAGTAAAAGGGAAAACCAAAATCACTGTCATGACAGTCATGGGCACAGCTACATGGAACAGCTAGTAAAAAAAGGTAAGCTTGTCTGATTTTCCTATTGTCATTCTGTACCATAAACAGGAGAAAATAATCTTCCAACCTCATACCTGAAGCTATAGAGAGCACCTTGATTTTGTATTTTCTCTGTTCTTTCCACATTACTATTTATTGAGGTTAACAGGCAGGAAGACTGCCAGACTATAATCTGAGTATCTGATAGGCTCAGGGAAAACTGTGATTTTTTTTTCCAAGAGAATATGTCTCCTTTTCTCAAAAATAGCAAAACACTTTTGGTTAGACAGAAGCCTTCCCAGACTGAAACTGGAAGTCTTCTGCAATGGTGACTGACTTCACAGATAAATCTGTCTCAGGCCCCACTGCGAGTATAGCCTTGGATTGAATTAACTAAAGCAAGAAGAATTCACAATATTAATAAAACATCCAAAAAACCTCAACTTTATTTTGTTATTTAATGTTCCCTCTTTGAAATGAGGCAAGTGGTCTTTAACAGCCAATCTGAATACAGCTCGGCCATATGCCGATACATACCAGCAGTCACACTAGAAAGCACCAAATAAGTCTTTGTAATTTTTCTTTCATCGAATTATCTTAACTCTTAAATTTGGCTCCCATAATGTTCTGTGGCAAAGAGCTCCGCTTAATTATGTGGCATGAGAAAACAAGGGCTTTTAGTTTGAGCCTGCCCCACCTCATTTCATTTGATGCCTGTTCTTGCATTAGAAGAAACAGGGAGTGATCATTCCTCCTTACTCTGTGCTGCTTGTGACACCCCTCTTTTCCTAGCTGAAGACTCTTACTTACGTAATCATTCCATACATTCATTAGTCCTGTCTCCATAATTCCTTACAATTGAAAACTACACTGATGTAAAGCTCCCTAAAAACAATTTTAGTTAAGTTTTCACAACTTTCAAAGCACTTTGCTATGCACAATGTCCATTTTAAATGGCACCTGCCTCCTTGCTCAAAAAGAGCAGAACTACTCTTTTTTTTATTCACTTTTTCTGGAAGAGATCTTTGTTCTGATGTGATGCTAAGATTTAACTGAAACAAAAACAACTTTTTGGGATATGGAATTATTTTTCCATTAATGAGAAATAATTGAAAACTTCCTTTTAAAACTGATGTTTGCTAATTATACCCTAATGGCGGCCAACTGTTAAATCATGACAGCCTGTGGCTCTTGGATTCCAGGAAACAGAGAATGTAAAAGGTAAGTAGATACGTCATATGTTAAATAAATGATACAGTACGCAGAATTTAAAGGAAATGTAGTAACCGTGCTTCAACTATGGAGCCTGAGGGGAAGGTCAGTCAATTGCGGGAGGACGGAAAGAGGCAGCAGTTTGAATCTTCAGGACTGGAAGAACCCAACCAACTGCCACAGACACCCAACGCTGTGGTACCAGCCCTTGTCACCCACTGGACTACAGAAAAAAAAACATCTTAAATATTAGCGAGGAACAACTCGGGAGAATTATTTTACCGGTGACCCAGGGAGCCATGCCATGTCGGTGCCTGGGCTGGACCGCAGCCACACCGGCACGGCTCGGGGCCGCTTCTCCTCCCGTGATTTAGCAGGGTTTGCAGCTCCTCCGTCGCCTCCACCGGGGCCCGGCCACTGCTCCGGCCCGGCCCGGC